TGCAATCCCAGTGCTATAACCGGAACAGATAAAATCTCTGTGCTGAAGCTGGAACCTGCGCCTCTGGAAGCCGCGCAATTTGAATTTGCTGCTGCGTCTGAATGGGCACAGCAGGGACAAAGAGGCGAAACCCTTAAGAGCGGGAATCAGCAAACAGAGTTGAGAGCAGGACTGGCAGGGAGCCCTGCATCGACCTGCGGTGAGTGAGAGGAATAGGGACCCTTCCATAGATTAGGAGGCTCCAACAGAGGACATTCTGGGACCAGGCAGACTAGCCAGAACAGGACGCTGCAGTGACTTTAGTTGCATACTCCCCTCTAAAGTGGGATTGGTGGGAGCGCTTGGCCTGGGTGATGCTGCAGACTAAGACCCAGTAGGCTAGCCCAAACCACATCCCAGCACCTGGCACCCTAGCAGTGAAGCCTTCAGTAGGTTGACTAACCTGGAGGGGCAGGCCCAGCAGAGGCTGCCCAGGTCTGTGTCTCCCTAGTACACTGCAGTGGGCGGGAACACCTAGCCAACGCAATTCAAACAAACTGTAACTGACACAGAAAGAAACTGGGATTCCTATATAGGTTTGTATGGAAGGAATAAAACGTATAGGAAGAGGGAGCAACAAGAAAAGGTCCTCGGCCCCCAATCCTGAGAACACTGATCCAGGAAAGGTAAATACAAAGGAGAATGAGGACAGAAAACATGCAATGTCAGACACAGCACCAATAGACATAAAGTGGTATTTCTGGAACCTCATAGACGAGTTCAAAAGTAAAGTATTTAACGACCTAAAGCAAGATATAAGTAGAATAGTTAGAGAAATGCTAAGCACCACCCAAGAAAAAACAGATGGTGGAATGGAAGAACAGAAAAAAGGGGAGAATTGTTTGATGGAGAAAATAGAGAAAACATAGAATACATGAAGCAGGTTCAAAGAGATTACCAGGAAACTAAAAACTCTATTGAAAGCTGGCATAACAGCTTGAAAGAAACTAAGGACAGATTATCTGAACTGGAGGGCAGATTTGTAATGGGGGAGCATGAAATGAAAAACTTCTTAAAAATAACAAGAAAACAAACAGCAATAATTACAAAGGTTTGAAGATGATAAGAGGATCTATAACTTAAGAATTAAGAACATAAAAGAAGAAGTAGGGACACAAACAAATGAACTACAAAGTTTATTCACAGAAATAATCCAGGAGAATTTCCCTAATTTAGCAAAAGATAAAGATACTCAGATGTGTGAGGCATACAGGACCCCAGCCACCTACAATCCAAACAGAGCTACACCCAGGCATACAATAATCAAAATTCCAGAAATCCAATATAAGAACAGAATATTAAAAGCCGTCAGAGACAAGAAACAGATCACTTACAAGGGAACACCCATCAGAATTACAGCAGACTTCTCGGCACAAACCATCAAATCACGAGGAGCATGGGGGGAAATAATTTAAGCTTTAAAAGATAATAACCTCCAGCCAAGACTGATATAGCCTGATATATCCCTAGAAATGATGGAAAAACAAGGTACTTCCAAGATAAAGAGTAACTAGGGGAATTTGCAACCACCAATTCAACTCTACAGAGAATACTGCAGGACATTCTAAAAAAAGAAAAATACCAATATTCCAGAAATAGTGGCAGAGAGGCCACAATGAATGGAGCAGAAAGCAAAATGAAGAAGACAAACTGACAACTAATGACAGAAAAAGAGCTCAACAGAAATGAGGCAGAGAAGGTTGGATGGTAGGAACAGTTATTTTGGAGAAAACAAGACATCATAATATCTAGTGCTGATTTAATATCATCTTGTTTTGAAGTCCCATCAAGCTTTTGTTCTTCTGTCTCCATCGGTCTTAACATGTTGTATCTTATTGGATTTTATTATATGTGATAATATAAACAAAAACTTTTATAGAAAAGGAGATTATACAGAAACCATTGTTCATTTTCTGTTAGTTGGTTCTAAATAGCCTGTAATACTTTCATTCTCTTGAATGGTTTTACATTGTCTTGATATGTTTGATGCTACAGTATACGAAGTTATACCTAAAGATTTCAAGGACAGAGATACTATGGTAACTACTTTTATGTCGGGATATCTGGTGGTGAAACACTATTTTACTTAAATGGTTATGTTTTGACCTGTGCTGTTTTGTTGTTAAGTCCTCTTTTATCTCAATCTCCTTTTTTTTATTATTTACTTTTTTTATTTTTATCTTTTTAATTAAGGGAAAAATTTAAAAAGCAGAATATATTATAGTAACCCACTTTGATTTCCTATTAACTTGATTTGAAAGTTATTGCTCTCACCATCTTATTTTGACTGATTTTCCTCTATTCTGTTTTGCTTGATACTACCAAGTTCGAGAGTATAGGCAACAACTGTGAAGACAATAAGATTCATTATGACACCCATTCTGGTTTGACTATTATCTTCTTTTGAAGTCTTGTAATGTCTCCAATGTTTTGGTTTTATTGGTTTTGTTCTTTACTGTTTTGTTCAATTTTATTATAACATGATATAGGCAATTCTTTTTAAGATAGCAAGAAGCATTATGGTAACAAATGTTGATCACCTTGTATTTTGTTTTTACAGTATGTATTATGTCCATCCTTTTGATTTGATGGACTCTGTTTTGTTATATCACATTTGGTTTTATTCTCTTCAAAAAAAGTAATAAGAACTGTGGGAGTAATAAAACCCAAAATGTGTAATTGTCATTGTACAAAAGAGAGGAAAAGAAAGTGCTCTAAAGGACATAACTGCATGTATATTTAAGTGTGTAAGATAGATAACAATATTACTGAGTTTTGTTGGATCATTGAACAGAACTGTTTGCAATCTCACTGTTTAAATGTCCACTTTATATGCTTTAATTTTGTAACTTGAATAACTATTTCTAAGATGACAATATGTAATCTATTAACTAGTGATTTCCTACTGTTTATTTTTTCTGAAATTCTGTATAACTTGTACCCTTTTTCTGTTTTTTTTTTTTTTTTCTCCTTAAATAAAATTTTTAAAAAAAGATTGCAGGACCTGAAGTTTATACGTTTTGGAATTGAGAACTCAATGTTGGATCCAAAAATTTTATGCAGAAGATTAAGCAGAGTCCTGGCAGGGCCCAGATGCCTGTCCCTGATAGTTGCCACTGTGCCATAGATATTAGTCTTGCTTTTTATTTCATTACTTATATTGTAACATTTTTGTTCATCAAACTTGTGATCTGGCTTTTAAATCTAAGAAAGTAAATAATTTTCCTGGGATCAAAGAACAAGACACAGTTGTATGAGAAGAGACAGCTTCAGTTTGAGGTTTTTTTTTTAAATCTTAAGCAGCCTTAGCAAAACAAGAATATTGAAACACACATCAAACTAATTACATTCTATGATGTTAATATGTAAAACCCAAATGCCTTCCGCTCAAGCTTTCTTGCTGAGAGTGTGACCTCACCAAAGTTCCACTCCACTTCACTCAGGCTTAGTGCACTCATTTTGAGATTGAGAGGGATTAATTAGTTGATCATTAACTTCCTTTCCAACATGAACATTCTAAGGGCCTAATTGAGCAGAGGCAGGAATAAACTGGTTGCTGCTTGATTGAACTGATCCATCCATTCAAGTAAGACTTGAGCTGCTGTTGAATTGGGTTTTAGAAATTGCCATCGACTAATTAGGATCTTTTGTTATGGCAAAGAATTATACAGGGAGACTTAGGACAAACCTAATAGAAGTTAAGAGGAGGTGGAGGATTATAGCTTCACCATGTATAGCTTTATTGCTTTTTGCCCTGGAGCCTCATAGCTGATGGGTGGGAGACAAGGGGACAAGAAGAATCCAACCCTTCACACTGCAGGGATCCTCAGTCATTACTGGGCTCCAGTAGCCATAGATGAGAGGGTTTTTCTTGGGATGTTTTGTGAATATTATCTGAGACACAGTTTCTCCCCTTCCCCCTTCCCTTCCTTTTTCTCTTTCCCTTCTCACTCCTCTTCTTTTTTCTCCTCCTCATTCTCCTTCTGGGTAGAATTGAGAGTTTGGGTGTGACAGTGTAGATAAAAGCAGCCCAAGTGCCCTTGTTGACTCTTTGGGTTCAACTCAAAATCCCAATCTCATGATACAGGACAGAAGGACATGGTCTATGAGGTATTTTTAATTTTTTTCCCTATAGCTTCAAATACCTTGCAATTGACCAAGGCTATGTCAGATATCCCATGGCCACTCTGGCAGATACTTGCTTTGGCTGAAACAAGCTTTAGTCATGGGTCCATTCCAGATGACTCTACCCTGCAACTTCTCTGGATGACTCTAACCTTCTCAGGTATCATTAATCAGGTCCGTGACTAGCCCCTCCACTATCTGTGATTAAACAGAAAGTCTGACACTGCCCATGTGCAAGCCCACCTTTGGTTTTTTCCTATATAAGCAACTACACCTGTAATGGGTCAGTCTGTACACTGTTCCCCTTCTGTCACAGCATAAACCATAAAGTCTCTTTTGAATAGACCATTCTTACCTATTTGTGATTTTCTCAAGTAGAGCATACTGAATACACTAAAAGCTGGTAAGACCAAAGGTTACTGGTGCTGAAAATGGCCAGCAGCTAGTAACATTGAGGACAGTAGCTGCAGAGAGTAAAGGAGAGCGATGGAGAACTGCTGGGAGGTGCCATCTCCAGTCACTGGAAAAGTTCCTAAGGGCAACTCGTATCTGGGAGCTCTGGCTGCGAGGAGAATGCAGGAGGCCCATTAACACTAAGAGCTGATAGTTGATGACACCCAAAGCTTGAAAGTGTAAATACTAAAATAGCTATACTTTGTCTTGTAGCGATACCGATCTGAACTGACCAAAGAACCCTCAGCTGATTGGAGTTACTTAGCAGTTGCACAGTCCTAGTATTTCTGCATCTTTGTTTTGTGAATTGTTAATAATATTAAGATAGATAAACACTACAAATAGCAACCATGATGTTTACCATATTCCAGGTACCTGTCCTACATATGATATCACTTAATCTTATTGTAATTATGCAAGTAGGCAAGTCTGTATTCAATTTACGGATAAAGGTCATGAAGTTCAGAGCGGTAACTTTTCCCTGGATGCACAGATGGTCAAAAAGAGTACTGGCATTTAAATTCACATATATCTTCTTATCATACCACATAGCCTACAAGTAAAATCTGCATTTTCCTTGTTTATCTTGTCATTTAATTTGCTTTCAACACGCCATGATAGTTGTTTCAAATGAAGCTTGGTGATATTAAGCTATTTGGTATAGACCAATAATGGCAAAACTTTTAGAGACCAATGCCAACACTGCAATTAAAACTGAATAGTGAGGTTTTAATTTAAGAAAAAAAAAATAACTCTACACTGACATTTATGTCTTAAAAGAAAAACATAATAACATACATGCCATAGATTTGTCATCACTGGTATAGACCTTTACTAAAAATGTTTTGGAAAATCCAAAATGTAACTGGCAAAATAAGCCAGAAGAAAAACCCATCATCAGAAGGCTATTGTAGAAAGTCAGTGGTTGCAATCAGACCAACGATGAATCCAGCTATAAAAATTTCAAGTGGTAGTTTCAGGCAGATCAAGAAAAGGACAATTTGGCTGAGGAGTAACATTTCCAGATCTTCTTCAGTGTTGGCAGCCTCTCAAAACCACTTCTATTAAAGGAATTAGTAGAAGATTGTGATAGCTCCATCATCAGCTTTGCAAAATGAATTTAAAAGTGATTGACAGATAACTAGACTTTTAGTACCACATTACTGAGAAGATCAGCCAAGAGCTGGGAAACAGAATGATTCTTCACTGTGGGTGAAAGAAAAGGATTGACTTTTCCATCTCTCACCTTAAAGACCAATTTGTTCTTGTACTTTTCAGTACCAGCATGATAAAGAACATTTCCTTAAAATATCACTGGAATAACACTCAATACCACAAGAGGACCACTTTTAGACCTAAATCCTGCTCCTTATTTTAAACAGCTCTTTTCTTTCCATCAGCAAGGCAAGAAACGTGTTTTTAAGCAAGTATATAAAGTTGAACTCTGATATTAAGATCCCGCTAAGTTCCAGGAATCTGTTCATTGTTGCCTTTTAAAATACTATAGTGAAAGTCTATGTTCCATTTGTACAAGGCCACTTTGCTTTTTCCGGAGTAGGCATGACCAATCTATCACAGAGTCTTAGAACTTTATTACTACTGACATTTGACTCCATTTATATCTGTGAAAGTACACAACTCAAATGTTCATAAGTTGGGGACTTACTATACACAGAACTTAGCTTATAATAATTATGTAATATTTTTGAATGAATGAATGAATGAATGGTCATGGCTTTTTTAATACAAACTCATTCACACTTAGACTCATTGAATGTATTTTAAAAGATCACAGGATTTCAGAGATCATCTGATGTACACTGCTGGCAGTCTTTCTTGGAAGTCATGCTTGTATCTCCCAATCTTCTGTTTCTTATAATCTGCACAGAAAGAAATTTCCCCTGTGATTAAAGGAGAAAGATCATGCAAATATGAGATCAGACAGTTTTCTTATTGGTGCCAGAGGTTATGTTTCTGAAGCTTTTAATCATAAAGAGAATATATTAAATGTACTATGATCCCAAAATATCATCCCGCCTGGCTTGGAGGAAGCACATGAGTACACAAGCAGATATTGATATATAAGCTTTCAAATCACCTTGAAGCCATCTGCTGCAGAGAATTGATGCATTTTTCAACAATGAGTAAACCTGGGAATTTTCTCTGTATCTGTGTCCTGTGGTAAAAACTTTTGAAGCTGAGGCTTCATATTCATTCCTGGTCCTCGAGTTTGCAGTTGATGTCTTTGAGGTGACCATATTGTAAAGTTATCCTTAAAGAAGTCCTTATACCAAAGGCCACATAAGATAAGGGAATAAATTCAAGCACTCAACTATCATTTCCTCAAACATAGTCTTCAAATGCACTGTCTGCTTAGCTCAGAATACAAGGATGGGAGAATAGTTCTCAAAATTTTCCAGTATCCTTTTCTTATTTGAATATGGAGCTTTGTATTATCTAGTATTGACCTTGAGAAAATATAATCAATCTCTGACCATAGAAACTTATGTGCAAGTTGAATCCTCTATCTCCTTTCCCCTAGCTTGTCTTTGCCAAAGACCCACTTGCTATGCTAGAAGGCAAGGGAGCGAAGCCGAACACCCTAAAGTAGCCTATGGTGCTATGCTCTCTGTTCTCCACCCCCGCCTCCCAGCTGTTCATATAACCTGCCGGCACTGCTTTGCTCCTCTCTTTGGAGACAAGCTCCTTCCAGAGCTCCTCAGCCAAGTCCCTCTCTTTCCCAAAGTCTCAGTACAGATGTTACTTCCTCAGTGTGGTCTCTTGAATTCCACAGTTAAAAGGGTAAACCTGAGCCGACGTGTCCAGGTCTCTTGATTCCCTTTATCCTGTTTCCCTTTTCTTCTCTCAAAGCATTTATCACTTTCTAACAGCCTACAAAATTTACTTATGTTTAATATAAGCCTTCTCAGCTGCTCACAAGGTTAGAGGCCTTGTTTACTTACTGATGTATTTGAGCTCCCAGAACAGCAAGGAGGATATTGTAGGTGTTCAGTAAATATTTGTGGATGGATAGAGGAAGGATGTTTTAAAAGTAAAAACACGGGAGAGCTGTGAAACAACGGCAAGAGCCAAGAATAAGGAAGCTCTAGAGCTTTGTTTTGTCTTAGAGATTTGTTTTTGCAGTTCAGGGCTAAGTATCATACTGAACTATGGTATTAGCCATTTTTATTTTTTTATTTTTATTTTTTAATTTTGAGACAAGATCTTGCTAACTCAGTAAGTTGCCCAGGCAAAGCTTGAACTTGTGAACTTTCTGCCTCAACTTCCCAGAGTGCTAGAATTATAGGTCTGTATTGCCATGCTGGCTGATCCTGGCACTTTTTATTTCCTGTTTTCACAAAGCCTGAAACTTCAAAAATTATGAATTTATTTAAATTAAGAGAGTATTAAAAAAATACACATGCTACCATAGTAGTGGTGTCAAGGATGCCAGTTACTCACATGTTGCTGTGAGTCCATTGCAGCTCATTGCTCTGTCTCTGGTAGAGATCAGCTTTCTGGTGAGAATGGTACTGTCAGGGACCTTTGGATACTTTGAGTGACAGGTCACTTTGGGACCAGAACAATCCTTGCTAGGAACTTGGTATACTAAACTTTAGTACACTAAAGCAGTATACTAAGGTTCAGCCTGGAGAAATGGGAACGGAAAAGGCACACTAATGTATTAATACTTAGTTTCTGTGATGATCTTTTAAGAATCTTTCTAAGAAAAGCTGTTTTAGTTCAATAGCCACTTCCCTTAAATCATTAACATCTGTTGGCCAAGTGTTGTCTGCGTCCCAAAATATGTCCAGCAGGAGCTTATTTCAAGAATAAATGGAACTGGGATTAGGTATTTGATTTCTTAGCTAGCCTGGGATTTTTCTTGCCAGGAGACTGAAAATGCTTATCAGATTTGCTTCATCTAGAAAGAGTGTGTTTCCCATGCAGCTCTGCACAGGCGGGTCCAGCTGGTGAACTATCCAGATTTCCTGCCCAGCATTATGGCACTTCCATAATTTATTTGGCCACCAAAAATAATGCCAGTATTATAGCCCGCACAAAGTCATTTTATGGATATGCTATGATCATTAGATTGTGGATGACAAAGCTGTTTTTAGAATCAACAGATCATCCCTTAGTAGCCAGAGATTCCACACATATCAAAGACATGAACCAACCAACTTTAGGGAAATGGTTAGAGGCCCTGCACGAGGCATAAGCAGCAGTGCATTGAGGGGCTCACGCTTAAAAGTTTGTTGTCATTACAGTCCTTCTAATTCTATAAGCTTGGAGAAACTGAATGAAATAATTTTCCTTTAATCTTTCCTGGCAACCAAATGGTTATTTGTAATATGATTTGAGATTTTTGAGTAAATAAGGAAGGGAAGAGTGGACTTGGAAAAATCATGGATTCTCAAGTCATGATGTGCCTGAGAAAAGCTGAACATTCCTCTGCAAACCATTCTGGGTTTAAAGTCTTCTACAAGAAATACTATAGTTACCATCAAGTTCTATACAGGCAAGTTTGCAATAATCCTCACTTACGCTTGATCTATAAAAAGAAAACTAAGGATTAGTTAGTTGTGTAACTACCAGAGTCACAAAGACAGCAGGGTGGCAAAGCGAGGGCCCAATCTACTGGTGAGTTGAGCACCGCACCTCCATTCCTCCCAGTGCACTGTCTCCACCCAGAGGCCACAAGGGGCTGTCTGTGTTTCAAAAGATTATTTTATAGCACAAATTTCCCTTGGGATAGCTTGATATCAGATTTTAGACTATATCGAGTCCATTGATATGAGAAGAGTAGGATGAACTCTTTTAATGAAAAAGAATATTTTTTAATAAAAGTGTTAACTTTTAGCCTAAGGTAGACTGTTCATGACCAGAAAGGTGTGTCTGGCTTCCCCATGAAGAAATGAAATTTGTTTGAGCATTCCGGAGGTGCCTTTCTCTGCTCATTTAGCAAAGCACTTTTGCTGTTGGACCCTGCAGGCTTCAAGACATAAAAGACAATGCAGATAAGGCAAAGTCTCGGTTTGTTTCTTCACAAAATGAACTAAATGTTTTCTCTCTGAAAGCAAATGCCAGGAGAGTTGTCATAGGTTGGTAGCACTGATACAGGGAACAGTGACTTCACAGTTTCCTTAAGTGTTTTTAAAATGGGTTAATGTGAACAGACATTTCTCTGTTGTCAAGTGCCTTTGGGGATGTGAAAATTGGGGAAATAATAAATAATAATAAATATTTTTCTTTGCTTGTTCCAAGATCGGAAATAAGGGCCACTGCACTCTGTAGTTTGGAAGGGTTTCTGGAAAGAGTTATGTGTTTAAAAATGAAGTTTTGATGGCAAATTTGAAGAGTACTTCTGCCATTGGGTATCACAGAAGGAGAGTTAAATTAGAAAGCTTACAAAACAACAAAAGCAAGAGAAAAAATAAACAGTAAAAATATTCTCTTAATTTTTCTTGACTCATTAAATGCCCTACATCCATTTGGTGACTCCTTAAACAAGTTCTGTTCTCCATATGCTTCTCTTGGTATTATTTGCATCATATAACTACTAACAAAATCAAAAGTCAATCTGCAACGAGTTTTGTGAAAATGAGGCTACAAAACAAAACAAAAAAAGCCTTGAAAGCCCACAACTTTAAAATTAAGCCTATGTTTTCCAACTATATTCAGTTTTCTAAAAAGTCAATATGTTTTGAAAATCACACTTTAAAACTAATCAAATGCTAGCAAATTATTGGTCTTGCATGAAAGCATTAACATTGCTGTCTTTGCCCTCATCCTAAATGGATAGATTAATTCACGCCTACCTTATTCCTGCAATCTTATTGTAGAACAATATTTTAGGTGTATCTCAATCAATAATGCTTTTTTCCTTATATTACAAAGTGTATAACAAAAACATTACTTTTATTATAATACCCAAACCGAGTACCAGGAGTTACTGATCCTTAAAATGAAACCAATATGTAAAACCTTAGGAAATATACAATAAATAGCTAGCAAAATGCTTTATTCAACTAAAAGGAACAAAAAAGCTGAGGAGTTGAAATTTTGATTGAAAAAGTAGAGAAAAAATTCTAAACTGTACACGCACAACCCTGCACATTCACAACTGTTTAAGGAGGATTTATGGGACCCCACATGCTTATAGCTGAATCTAAACCTATGTTTTCTCACCCAGTCTCAAGTACAATACAGCACCAGGGTAAACTGAAGACAGTATAGACTCTCCCCCTAGGCAGCAGTCAAAGTTTCCCACTGAGCACAGGCTAACTTAAAACGACACCCACAAAATATTGTGAATAAAAACAGAAAGGAAACACATAGTTATCAAGTTGAACTGAACTTTTTTCCATTTTTTTCCGTTTCTTGGATCTGGAAACTAGCAGACACCGTCCGTCATACCTGAAAGCTTCTTTGCTAGATTCAGGAGAACACTCTGTCATCAGGTAGAAGAAAGCTGGGCCAGGAGAGAAAGACACTCATTGCTCATGTCCCAGGCATTGCTGGTGGCAGAGCCACAGCTAGAACTCAGACAGCTTGCATTTCAAGCTACTGTGCTTTCTCTTCACAATGACCATGATGCTGACCTTCACTGCAGTTCTTCCTTGCATACTCTCCTAACGATTTGGTGGCTTTCCCTAAATGCCAGATCATCTAAGGTGCCAACAGAGGCTTACCAAAGCAAACAATTATACTTTATATTAACTGTGAATCTTCCAGAGTTCAGAATGCTAGATAGGCTATGCATGGGCCTGCCAAATGTTACCAGGTCCATTTATATTTTACCTGCTTCTATTAGCTGACTATATGGTGAATATTTTTATAATAGCTTATCTTTTCCAAGGTTCAATCCTAAAAACAA